TTTAATCCCAGCACTTGGGAGGCAGAGGCAGGCGGATCTCTGTGAGTTCGAGGCCAGCCTGGTCTACAAAGTGAGTTCCAGGAAAGGCACAAAACTACACAGAGAAACCCTGACTCGAAAAACAAAAAACAACAACAAAAAAGGCAAAAAAAATTTCCCAGTGGAATTACATTCAAAACTCACAGCATCATTCTTCTTATACACTACTAATACAGTAAACATAGTACATATATAAGCAAACAAAATAATTAAAATTGAGGGAACAGCTGGCAATTGGCAAGTATGTCCTTTTTATTCTGACCATGAATATGGTACTATTTTATTTTCTACAGAGCATGGAAAATACTTTTGAAGTTATAGAACACTTAACAAATAATGTGAAAGAGAAATTATCAGAGAAACAAACTTACTCACTTCAACTCCGCAAAGAGACTGAGGAGCAGCAGCCGAAAATGGAGCGCGTGACTAAGCAGGTACTGACAATTTCTTAGAGCCGGCCCTAGCATTCACTGTCATGGACCAAATGCACTCAAACCCCATTTCCTGAACTTGGTGGAAAGGAGGTTTATGTAATATCTGACTGTTGTTATTAACAGTGTGCCAGACTCAGGAGAGAAATCCGTATTTTGAAAGAAACAAATGAAGAAACACTGGAAGAACAAGACATTCAACTCCGTGAGATTAAACAGTTTCACAAGGACATTGACCAAATGTTAGTGAATGTCATGGAAAATGCTGAAATGCACATCATTCTTCAAACATATTTTGAGCAGGTAACAGAGTATAATATAGTATGTCTGTGTATCTAATTAGTTTTCTTCTAAAATGTGGCAGGACTAATGATTTAAATATTCTTCCAGAATGGGTTAGAACTACCTACAGCGAAAGGCCCGAGCTCCAGATCTTCTTCACAGTCTTCACACTTATCACTGAGGTAAGGGCAAGGTTAGAAAGCAGGACAACTCTCACAGCTGCTGCTCGCCAGCACGCTACCCACTCTCCTCACCTTCAGCAGCCTCACTATGCAAACACAGTATAGCAAGACCCCTGCAGCCCCGTGCATTCTAACTAGTACGCTATTTTAGGGGTACGAGTTGGGTGAAAACTGAGGTGATACAGCTAACATTTTGGGTGAACTCCAACTCTGGGAAAATTTAAATCTTTTTTAACTGTAAAAGGGCAAGTCAGATGTACAGAGGTTTGTAATTACAACTGCTTCTTTGAAATTCTATGTAACCAGCTTCGACTTACAGTGTCTTACTTAGCTTAATGCAACCCAGAAACCTATCAGTAGGGATAAGTCATGGCCACGAAGTCTTTGTTGACAGATTTATTAATGATGATGCTGGTTTTACAATTTCTACTGCTGACAGCTATTTATTAGTTTTTATTAGTCTGTGAAACTCTCAGAAAATATTAATAAAAAAGGGATCCTCCAAGACAGTGTTTTAAGTTTAAAAAGCCTGCTTCTATATAAATATTTTAAGCTACTCAATATACTTACTATTAACATATTAAATTTCTTGTATTTTTAATAAAATTATTTTAGAACTGAATGGCTACTTTCCAAACACTCTCACCGTTTTTCCTGGCAACACACCTCACTTTCCTCTTCAGCTCGAATGACTTAAGACTAACATTTGATGACTTTTCAAGCACTTGCTCCTCTTTTTTTGTCATTTTACAAAATATTGCTTCCAATTCTAAGAAACTGATTACAGTTGAAAACGATTTGCTCACAGAAACAATTATTGAACTACTTACTTAAACTATGTTCATTTCTTCTTTTGAAAGAATTGGTCATACTTTAAATTTTTATTAACACTAATGGTTTTCCTTGTTCTTTACTTATGGAATTATGATTTTTTTTTTGGCCAATAAGGTCTATTTTAAGTACATTTTGCATTATGTTTATAGTAAATCCTTTCTTGTTCTAGGTCGCCTGAGAGCCCAGGTTCTCCCGCTTCTCCCGTTTCAGCTAAAGTATTACAGATCAGCTTCCCTGGGTCTCCGACAGAAAGCAATGGTTCTAGGTCACCTAGTAATGGCAGCAATTCGAGTACTCCTAAGGGAAAAAAGCCCAGCAAATAAGCATTCTTTAAAATCTCTTGTGCAAATTTTGAACACAAATGAAAATCGCATTAATGGTTAAGTCTCCCTTTTTCTGGGGTTCCATTTATTAATGACACATACAATCCTACTAAAATAGTATTGGAAGTACCACAGAGCAAAGTTCTGCATAGTGGCTAAAACAGCTGTTGAGAAAAGAACAAAAGCAGTTGGTTTTGTTTTCCCCTAGTGTTTTATTCATAGAGAAAGAAATGCAGAACCATAGCCAGGTCATGTGTGATAAAGTGTGGAGGGTGCGGGGGTGGGGGGTGGGGGAGAGAACACTGATGTCTGTAGTGTTAGATGTCTTATGCAGTCACTTAGATTAGAAAAGAAGGTTCTCTTAGGAATACACTTCTAAAGGTTCACTGCATGTCTTAATAAGGAAATTTTCATTTACTCCAAAACACAAAACGACTTTTTAAAATTAAAAACAAAAAGCAAACAACCATATTCCTCCAATTTTTTTCTGAGGGTGACACACACCTGTTATAGGCCTTTTTTTGGTTATAATTTGTAACAAAAAGATAGCATCATTACCCTTCCCTTGGTAAGAAAAACACTGTATGTGTGCACACATATACATTTATCTCTATATATGCATACATCAAGTACAACTTAAGTTGCTAAGACTGTACTCTGACCTTGAAAAAATTGAACATACTAAATTTACAATGGAGGTAGATATTGCATACTATATTTAAAATTAGTTTTTTCAGGTAATACTTTATATCCAGCACTTTGAACTTCTTGGACTAGAGTGTGAAATACTACTATAAAGCTAGATTTTTAAATATATTAGCATTCAGGTATATAAAGGAACTTCTCCTTTAAACCTTACAACAGTGATTGTCTTAGAACCACTACTCAGCTACTTCTGAAAGCAGTAGTGGTAGTTTCTACTCATAATCTTTTTAATTCAGAAATAGAAAGGTATAGTTAAATGTAATAACTAAAATGGCAAAGAAAACTGTGGGCACTTTTTAGTTGAAACGCTGCCAAAATGCATGATGTTTAGGATCTAAAACTGATTAATCCAATCATTTTGTTTACTAATGTTGTGATTCTCAGTCACTTATTAGTTTGTAAGTTACTTGGAACTTATACATTAAACTTTGTGTTCTACGAAGGTGAGGTTTTTGTTTCTTATTAGGAGGCTTACTTTCCTATGCTTTTTCTTCTTGTAACACAGGGATGATTAACTGTATTACAGGCTTATTGAAGTAACATATAAGCAAAACATACTGGTCTTGAAGCATAGTAATAGTATTATAAGTAGTTAACTTCTACCTATGGAGTCACTACTAGACCTTAGTCTGGAATGGCCAGCATACAAGTTTACATTTAATCACTACACTAACTGTATGTAATAACGCTAAATGGCAAGACAAAGGACCAACCCCTCTGTTTGCAGATCTGCAGTTACCTTAACATCCAGAAGTCACAGTTCTACTCGTGGAAACCAAGACAAAGCTAGCCAGGGTACATACAAACTATGGACATATTAATGTGAAAGAAACAACTGAAGACATCACTGAGGATCAATTAAAACCTATATTTTTTCCTGTGACAACTCCTTAAATATCCCAAGGAGCTAGATGCTTAGATTAGTGTAGACTGCTTAAATTAGCATGTCCTTTCCTACTAGGAAAGATGTAATCCTATTAAGAAGGCTGTAATTTCCAAATTCTGGTAGCCTACCCCACAGGCACTTTCCTAAGGGTAAAGTAAGATGATATGGTTAAGATTATAAGGTATATAATTGGGATTCTCAATGATCAAGCAGTGTGCAGAGAGGTGGTTTCTACTCTTTAACAAACCCCCACTACGTAGAACTAAGACTGGAACTATTAATACATAGAGCACTCTTAAGAGTTCCTTGGTGCTGGCCTGGCAAAATGGCTCAGTGGACAGAGGTACTTGCTGTCAAGCCCAATGACCCAAGTTTGATTCCTGGGATCCGTAAGGTAGGAGAGAATTGATTCCCTCAAGTTGTCCTCCAATCTCCATATATGTGGCACAGATGCTCACTGTTCTCCCCACCCCCAGTCCCAATAATAATAATAATAATAATAATAATAATAATAATAATAATAAAATAATATATTGAGTTCCTTGGTACAAAAACTAATACTGAAGTGATTATCCAATTTATGCTGCCGTTATTTACTGTTCTTAATTAAGGTTTCTTTTCCTACTGTACTGTTTTTTCAGTAGTTTTCTATCACTATAATTTGGAACAAATAGTACGTATCATTACTAAAACTTTAGTGTTTTACTGTTATAAACAAACATGCAATGAGTCTTTTTCTGCCACTCCCTATTTCTCTCATGTATGTCTGCAGGTGGATTCTGTTTAATGACTAACAAGAGATTAAAAGCTCACTGCCATTTACACTTTCTAGAATCCTAAATGAAGAGCATCGTAAGTGCAACAGCTATGATACCTACTAATGTCTCCAAGAGTCTACTTTTCAATTTTTAGTGATTTAGACACGTTCTTTGGAAGTCCAAGAGGATTCCTTCATTAGCTGTTTGTGTAGCTATGGTGTTTGTAGGTGGCTGTCAGAGGACAAGTTCTGTCCCTATGCCTTGGGGTCTTGGGATTGAACTCAGGCCATCAGCTGGGATGGTACTTCTACATACCGAGCTATCCCAGAGGCCTGGAATTTATTCTATCATTCACTAGGATTCAGAGAAAGGCTTCAATAAGGAGAAAATAATAGAGAAGAGTAAACCGCAAGCCAGTCCCTCCCCTATTTAGAAACATGCCTACTGACTTCCCAAGCATTTGCAATATTAAGACAGAAAAATCCAGATTTACAGGGTGCTTCTCTGCTGCTATTTTTACTAAAAATTATTTTCTATTCTCATCTAGTCTTGTCTAGAATTCCCTAAGGGTTTTGTCAATATTTAAAGTTAAAAATTTTCTTATGACCATAACCATTAAGTAAAAATAATAATGGAGAAATAAGTAAAACAGGCTCTGATTAACCAACTTTCATGGTCTTATTATTCTTAAGGTCTTTTGTTAAGCTGGGAAGAAAACAATGTTCACAAACCATTTACATCAGGCATTAAGAGGTAAACCAAGTCATAATTTATCACTTAAAAATGAAATGGTGCAAAAAATTTAATGCCTAAAACAAATGACTTAAAATAGAACCTAAGAAACAATCAACCATATAATATTCCCGCCCCCCCAAAAAAAACTAATGGCTTTTTAACAAAAGAGAATAAGTATTTTTTGATAAAACATCCAACTGTTTAGCGCAAACGTATTTCTCTCCAACAGTGAAATATGATAGGCCTAGGGTTCTCACAAACCACAATACAATGAAGAAACAAAGTGCTCAGGAAATATCTTGAGGTGAAAAGTTTAAGTTGACAGAGTAAGAGCTCTATCTGCACATACCTGAAGCACTATGATGAAGGGGAAAACTGAAACAAAACCTAGAAACATCTTGTCATCTGCTGCAAATAATTTTAGATCCAGAACTGTTTCTTAGGATTAAAGCATCCCCAGACTTCTGAAAATTTAGTGAAAATTTCCTAAGCAGATCACTTTCTTGGCTTATTTCCTTTTTCTTTCTCAAATTCAGCTATCTGATTAAATATATTGAGTAGATTTTGAGGTAAGTTTTTCTTAATTCTGCTTTCTGGTTGCTCTTTGCTATTTAGTGTGTCTTCTGGAGCCTCGGTTTTGTTACCCTCTCCACAGCTGTCCTCCTTTACATATGCACGCTCTCCCTGATTTGTACTGAACTGGTATCTCTGCTCAGGTCTACTGTCACGTGATCCAGAAGTGTATTTTTTGTGTTTTTCAAGTGACTTCCAAGAGTAGTCCGAACTTGCTGGTGAAGTAGAGTACTTCACAGACCCTGGCTCCCACCTCCTAGAGTGATCTTTTCTTCCCTCTGTGTCCTTTTCAAATCTCCTAGAACTAGAAGCTTTCATCTTGTCCTCTGAATTTCTACAGAAGGAATCTGAGGAATTTCTCCTACTGGAGAAATACCTTTCTGACTTATATGGCTTTTCGGTTTTGCTACTACCTGCCTGGGTTTTATAGTTATTGTAAGACTCTCTTGTGTCTTCAGACCTACCTCCCAAATCATCTGGCACTTCACCTGAAGATGTGAGAAGGCATCTCTCTTTCTCTTTTACCTGGGTGTTTGGATATTGTAACCTATCCTGCTTTTCCAGCAGTTTCTCCACTTCTTGTTTTTGATTAAGGAAAGATGCTGAAGTATTAGTTGGAACTGGGTAGCAATCATCTTTCCTATTCTGATCTATGTGACTTGAAGATGTCTTAGACCAGTGCCTCTTTGAACTGCGAGAAGACTCTGAACGATTCCTCTTACTTTTCTTATGCCGTTTGTGACTAGAAGAGGAAGAAGATGAGGAAGAAGAAACGGATTCATCAGCAGAAGAAACACTTGAAGAGGAAGATGATGATTTTCTTCTCTTCTTCTTCAGCCTTAAAAAAAAGTAGTTAGCTCATCAGACAAGTACAAGAAAATCAGTCAAATATCCCTCAAGATTTGACCTTATTTTGTATCACTTGCAGATATTCTATAATCTGTCACTCAGACATAATTACAATCTCAATTAATGCATCAAGTTTTACCATGAAGCATGACTTTGGAGAACGCCTATGGAGACAGGTGTCACTATAGGCAAATCTACTACTTCTGAAAGATGCAGTGACTTCTCTATCATTGCTTTATGCCTACCTGGACAAGAAAGAAGAACCTGAGTTTTCTATCCAGCTACCTCTAGTTTCATCATGTTTCCCCTCAGCAAACAGCTCCTTTTTTTTTTTTAAGGGCCAAAGAGCTCTTTCCTGAATGCAGGAGCAGACTGTCCTGTGCACTGCAGGTGTTTAACTGTTCTCTAAACACTAGATGCTAGTATTTTTCCACAACTTACAATGACTACAGAACAAACCACCAGTATCTAAGAACCACAGTTCTTCTAAAAGCCTATCTCCCAGAAACAGTTAAATAACTTCTTCTATATTTTAACCCTAATTTTTAAAAAGAA